TCTATCAAAAATAAATAAAAATCTTTAAAAAAAAAAAAGAGAAAAAGAAAATGAGGTGAAATATTAACAATTGGTAAACCTAAGTGAAGTGTAAATGAGCATTCTTTCCATTTTTCTGTGGGTTTAAAACTTTTTCAAAATAAAAACAGGGGCGCCCGGGTGGCACAGTGGGTTAAGCGTCTGATGCTTGATTTTGGCTCAGGTCATGATCTCAGGGTCTTGGGATAGAGCCCCACATCAGGCTCTGTGCTCAGTGTTGAGCCTGCTTGAGATTCTCTCTCCCTCCTCCTCGGCGCCTCCAGCTCTCGCTCTCTCTCTCTAAAATAAATAAATAAATCTTTGAAAACATAAAAATATAAGCATTTGGGGGGAAATAGCCAAAACAACAGCAAAAAAATGTGTGAAATGCAGCTAAGCATGTGATTCTTGATCTCAGGGTCATGAGTTTGAACCCCACGTTGGGTATAGAGTTTATTTAAAAAAGAAAAGAAAAAAGAAAGACCCAGGCTCAGGGAGGTTGAATCTCGTGCCCTGTATCACGCAGCTGGTGAGTAGGAACTCCAGCCCAGGTAGTCCTGAGCCGGGACCATCATGCCTGTGGACGTGTGTATGGAGTACAAGTCAGTGGGCATTGTGGATGCGTGAGGTGCATACACGCTTCTCTACCTGCAGGATCCTTCATCAAATAGGAATGCAGCACCTACTGTCTGCAAGGCAGACATTGTCCTGGGGGCACAGTGGTGATCAGATGGTCAGAGTCCTTGCCTTTGTGGTGGCTGAGACAGACAATCAACAAACCCATGCCTAATGCCGAGGGGTTGTGATTCCTGGCCATTTGAATATCCTCTTTCATGAAGTTTCTGTCAAAATCTTTTGCCCACTTTCCTATCAGGTTTTACATCAAATGCATTTTCGGCATTATCAAGACAATCAAATAATTTTTCTGTCTTCTAAAATATGTTAAACCACCCTTGCATTCCAGCTGCATGATACGGGGCATGTGATTCAACCTCCCTGAGCCTGGTTTTTGGGGTTTTTTTATTTTGTTTTGTTTTGTTTTTAAAGATTTTATTTATTTATTAGAGCAAGAGAGAGAGAGAGCACAAGCAGGGGAGCGGCAGGCAGAGGGAGAAGCAGGCTCCCTGCTGAGCAGGGAGCCCAATGCGGGACTCGATCCCAGGACCCTGGGATCATGACTTGAGCCAAAGGCAGACGTTCAACCGACTGAGCCATCCAGGCATCCCTGTTTTGTTTTTTGTTTTTTTTTTTTAAGATTTTTATTTATTTATCTGAGACAGAGAGAATGAGAGAGACAGAGAGCACCTGAGAGGGGGGAGGGTCAGGGAGAAGCAGGCTCCCCGCGGAGCAGGGAGCCCGATGCAGGACTTGATCCGGGGACTCCAGGATCATGACCTGAGCCGAAGGCAGTCGCTTAACCAACTGAGCCACCCAGGCGCCCCTGTTTTGTTTTTTTTTAAGTAAACTCTACAACATGAGGCTCAAACTCATGACCCCGAGATCAAGAGTCACATGCTCTACGGACTGAGCTAGCTCAGAACCCCAAACCTGGGTCTTTTCAGCTGTGAGTGGGAGCAGGCCTGGCCAGCAGAGAGCTGCCGTGCAGAACGGTTGTGCATTTCTAACATGTCTGTCCCCAAGGAGCTGAGAGTCTGCTATCACCATCATGTCACACAGCCATCCAGGTATGCACACTCCCACGTGCGGGTGCACAGCGTCCAGGTGCACAGCCCCGGAGGGGAGGAAATGCAGTAATCTCCTGGTGAGCTGGCCAGGACTCTGGAGAGCCACTAGAGTCATGGGAGCTGGGACTGAAGGAAGGGGTGGGGTCACATCCCTATGAGCCTTCCCCATAGTAGGGTCCCCCGCTCTGACTCTGGGCCCTAACTCTGGCTCCTCACATCCAGTCCAAGCCACTGTAACAGTTGGTGGTCAGACTGCTGCCATCAAGGGAGCACGTCCTACGGACCAGGCGAGCTTCAGGTGCCCCCTACCCCCATGAAGGAAGCACTGGCTGAGTCCCATTTCACAGGTGGGGAAACTGAGGCTCGAAGGTTGCAACCACTTGCCAGAGTCCCTGCTTTCCTCTGCGCCAAGAGCGTGGCCCACAGACTGCTGGATGGGGCTGGAGCAGCTGATAAGACCCAGCTCTCAGGGGCCCATCCCCATCCTCACCTCTACAGTCCAGTACCAGCCCAGACTTCAGCGCTCTAGAAGGTGAGCACTCTGCACCCCACCATCCTCTTCTTCTTTTTTTTTTAATTTTTGATTTAAAAAATTTTTTTAAAAGATTTCACCCATTTATTTGTCACAGAGAGAGAGAAATAGAGAGCAAGCACAAGCAGGGGGAGGGGCAGAGGGAGAAGCAGGCTTCCCGGGGAGCAGGGAGCCCGATGCGGGACTGGATCCCAGGACCCTGGGATCATGACCTAAGCGGAGGGCAGACGCTTAACTGACTGAGCCACCCAGGCGTCCCCCTTCCCCATCCTCTTCTACAGCTCCTCCCTTTACGAGTAAAACTCTGGCCTTTATAGGCCTGCTAGGGGCTGGGCAGGCACTGGGATATAGGACAGGCGATGGAGGGCTCTGGGAGGACCCCACCCCTCCAGCAGCTCAGGACTGTTTCTACCCCTGCAGAGGCAGCACAGAAGGACAGTCCCAGCTGGGCCTGCTCGCTCTGTGACACCAGAGAGCTCCCTTCTGTGCAGGCCTCATTTCCTTATAAATCAAGCGCAGCAATGAATCCCACTGGATTCTGGGAAAAGCAGTGAACCATCACACTGAGGATCCTATGGGAGGGCAGGTATTTCTGAGTGCTCACAGCAGACACAGGTCACAGACCTAAAAGACACCACGACCCTGAAGCTCACAGTCTGCCTAGAAGACAAGCACTTACTCAGAGCCTCAGAACACCCAGTTTGCACACAAGCCTAACACGCTGGGACATAGTGCTGGAAGATGACAGACTAGAAGGGAAGGGACCTCACCATCACCGTGTGTCTATTTATCCATTACTCATGGGACTGGGTCCTCATCATGCCAACCTTAAGAACCTTCCCCCAGGAGTGCCTGGGTGGCTCAGTCGGTTAAGCACCCGCCTTCGGCTCAGGTCATGATCCCGGGGTCCCAGGTTCGAGTCCCGCATCAGGCTCCCTGCTCAGCAGGGAGTCTGCTTCTCCCTCTGCCCATCACCCTGCTTGTGTTCTCTCTCTCTCGCTTGCTCTCTCAAATAAATAAAACCTTAAAAAAAAAAGAACCCTCCCCCAGGAACTCTGGCTGCAGCAGAAGGCCCAGCCCCAAAGGAGTAAACCTGGTGCTGGTCGGGTAGGAGGAGATTGGGTCTGGGAGGCCCTGCTGGAGAGAGGAGATGGTGGTGGGGAAGCTGGGGACAGCAAGGGGAAGGAGAGTGGGCTTCAGACCGGCAGCTCCTTTCAGACCCCACAGCAGCATGGCCAGGAGCCCTCAAGGGGATGGACCTTGGCCAGGAGGCTCCCAGCCCAGCCAGGGTCTCTTGTCCCATGTTCCACAGCAGCTGGGGCCAGCTCCAGGCTCCCTCCCACTCCAGGCTTCTTAAAACAAGAACAGGAAGTGGAGAGCGCTGTTTGACAAATACACAAAACACGCGGAGAAACCACATCCTCTCTCCTCACCAAGGAGAATTGCAGGGGGCATCATGGGCTCCGAGCAGAGACCCCCAGCCCGACCCTCACACACACAGCAGGACATGCCACAGAGACTCCTCCCCCGCAGAGAAATGTGTCAGTGGCTCCCACTGCTGGGGGCCACGCCCCGTCAGTGGTCTCTGGGGCCTGAAGCCCCGGGCCCTGGTTGTATCTTTACAGCTATAGGTTCCGGTGGGCTCGGCACCTCTGCACGCTGTCCAGAGCAGGGGGGAGGGGGGCCCACTCCCCTGCCGTCACCTGGAAGGCCCCTGGGGAGACCATGCCACCTGAGCTGCCACCCTCATCCTAGAAGGAGCACTGAGGGAGGGGAAAGAGGACGAGGTCAGGAGAGACAGATGGACAGACAGACAAAGGGAGGAAGGAAAGAAGGAGAAGGCGAATGATTGAAACAGAAAGATAAAGCATGCAGGAACGGGGAAGCCAGCACAAAGGTGACATGGGACACCACCTGGGCCAGGACTTGGCCACGCTCCCTCTTGCTCCGGGACTGTCCCCTGGGTTTCCAAAGCACTTTTGATCCTGACAATGATCCATGAGGCAGTTATTCCAGGAAACAGACCCAGCCAGCAGGGAGGGGGATGATTGCTCGAGCTTTCGTTGGCCCGGGCTGGTGGCCAAGGGCCAGGAGGGGTGTCCTGCTATGTTCTGCCCCGGTGGGCAGCGGAAGGCTCCCATGGGCTGGGCTTCCTGGAAAAGGGTTGGAAAACACCAGCTGGGGCCCCTCTCTAACACCCACCTTGCCCGGGCCGCAAACATCCAACAGTCACTGGCTGGGCCCTAGGCCCTGACATCAGAAGGGGAGGCAGTGGGGGACATGGTGCTGGCAAGGGCAGGTTTCCCAGGGCCTGGGCCAGGATGAGAGACTGGCCCTGGGCAGCACTGAGTGCACACTGACAGGCCAGGACTTGCCCATGCTTCTGGGGAACAACCCCAGCCTTGGAGAATGGCTGTGGCTTCTCTGAAGGGCCAGCACCAGTCACCAGGGTCAGCCTGGGCCAGACCAGTGACGCTGTGGCAGTGTCCTCTCCAGGCCTCCTGAGCCCTAGAGCTAGGAAGAGACTCACACACCATCTCCGTCAATAGCCCCAACCCCCCTTCTGTCCTGGGCACACATCTGTCTCCTGCTCTGTGCAAGGGTCCTGGGGCCACGTCCTTGCTGGAATCCAAACCCATGTGGCCCCCACAATGAGTACACGCATGCACACACACACCTTCTCCACACTCTCACCACCAGTCACAAAGTCTCCAGGAGGGGCCAGCCACCAAGAGCCACCCAGCTCCCACCCACCTCTTACTCACCGTCCAATGTCCGAGCAGACCTTGGAGTCAGCGGCGACCGCAGCACGGGCAAAGGCCTGGGGGCCGCAGCCAGTGTGCCGGCGGGAGAGGACCACGGCGGGCACGATAATGGCCAAGGCCAGCCCCAACCCCAGCAGCACCATGCTGACTATGGTCCTGCGGCCTTGGGCCATGGCTCGGAGGCTCGGAGTGGAGAGAAGGCAGGTGGACAGACAGATGCGTGGATGAACGCACAAGATGTGCAGACGGATTCGCAGGTGACTGGGCAGGTGAACAAACAGATGGAGTCCAGAGACAGACAAACGGATTGCCAGTCTAGACAGCTAGACATAGGACAGTGAGAGAAGGATGGTCAGAGAGCCAGCTGGACAGACACGGGATTGCAGACGGAGGGACAGACGGGCTTACAGACGAAGGGCGGCGCCCCGGAGGCCAGGTGGGTACATGGACTGGCAGCCAGCAGCGGGGTTGCTTCCCCACCTAAGCTCCTGCTACAGAAGCAGGGCTGGCCGCGCGCCTGAACTTCCAGTGTTCAGCCCCTGTTCTTGGCCCTGGCAGGAGGCCAGGGAGCAGGGCGTTTATGGGGAGTTTTCCTTCCAGAGAGGAGAAGCAACTGCTGTTAACTCCCTCATTCCCACAGCCTTGTCTTGATGGTCCAGACACCCCCCCTGCCCAGGGCTATCCCAACCCACGTGCTTGAGGACTTGGCACCTCCTGCCCCCGAGGGAGCCAGGGTACGGGCTGCCCAGAGCCCCCACGGCTGTTCTCCAGTTCCCAGCAAAGCCGGGACAGCAGGGCTCAGGCCTGCCCAGTCCCCTCCCCTGGATCTGTCTCCAAGGGACAAGGGGACCGCAGTGACGCCCTGGCTCCTGCCTTCTTGGTGCGGTTCCCGCCAGCAACAGCTTGCCTCAGCATCCCCAGAGCCAGAGGACACTGAGGATGTCTGGGGCCCAGCGCTGGGGCTGAAGGGGGCCAGAGACAGAGGGAGGAGGGACCCAAGGCAATGTCACTCAGGACCCGGGTTCGAGTCCCAGCTCAGCCGCAGCCTAGCCAGGAAACAGGGGTGACCAGGACGGGGCTCAGCTTCCCAATCTGCATCAAACGCCCAGGACTACAAGACATCTGTGTGAGGAAAGCAAACAGGGCCTGCATCTGGCCCTTGGCACCCACTGCCCACCAGACCATCCACCCCTGGGGCCCGCTGTCTAAATGGCCCACCATGGGCCTCCTGAGAATGAGGCTGCCCTCCCCTCCCAGGGAAGCATCTCGGCGCTTCCCTGGCTGCGTGTCTGCTTCCCTGTGTCCTTCTGTGCTGGCTGTGCTTCCTCTCCTGGGGACACTAGCCTGGATCCTCCCCTGCCCAGGCCTCAGGGTACCCAACAGGGAGGCAGCTGGGGGAGCGGGACCCTTGAGGCCCCTCTTGACCAGGCTTAGCAGGAGCACAGGGTGCAGGGTCCACAGGCAGGACTCCCACCCACACACCCCCCCTTCTCTGGCTTCCTTCCCAGCTGAGCATTGCCCCCCCCAGGCCTCTCGACAGATCCTGGTACAGCAGAGGAACTGCCCACACAACCACACAGCCCGCCAGGCCCCATCCCAAGCCCCCAGTCAGCCTGGGCAGGCTCTCCAGTGGGCCTCTTCCTACAGCTGCTCTGTGGGGTGGGGAGGGCTGTGGGCGCCTTCTTCTTCCCCCACTGTCCCCCATGCCAGTGACATTGCTCAGCCCGGAAACAAAGTGCATTGCTGGGCCAGGGCCAGCCCCCCTGCTGGGAAGGCAGGGGCAGCAGAGACAGCGGGTCTGAGGCGCTGAGGGTGGGACATTGCCCCATCTCCCCAGCCATCCTGGTCAGGCTGAGGTCAGGGTGCAGGGACCAGAGGAGCAAAGTCCCAGGAAAGGAAAGCATCATGCTAGGCCTGGCTAGAGGTATGGCTGGACAGGCTGAGCTGGGAAAGGCCCTGAATATCCTTGTGCAGGAGGTGAGGTGTGCAGGGGTCAATGGGAAGGAAAGAGAGGAAACCAAGTCCCCCAGCACCTGACGGAGCCCTCAGCTGAGCCCCATGGGGCCTGGGGAACTGGGTGCACCCAGCCCATGTGCAGGAACACAAGGAGCTTAACCTCCACCCAGAGCAAGACTAGCCCTCAGGCCTCTCAGTCTTCTCTCCTGCAAACGGGGCCATGGCCTTTCCTCTGGGGCCAAAATGAAGGCTGAGGAGACTTGCACACCCCACCAGCCCAGCCTCCATCCTGTCCCCAGAGGACCCCAGAGGTACCGCCCTCCCGGGCTCAGGGCCCAGACTCTGCAGACACAAAACCCCGTTTCCTTGTGGGCACTTTAGAAACACCAAGTTTTCCTGCCTCCTGAAGGAGAGCCCAGACTTGGGGTGGCCCCTGTGCCCGTGCCCTCAGGGGTCTGCACTTATGCTCCCTGGTCAGGGGGATACCTGGCCATCAGGCCGTGACCCATCCTCCCCTGCACACCCCCGCCAGTCTCTCACATCTCCTCAGTCAGACATTTCATCAAGTTAGCAGACCCTGAGGGAGGGTGGGAGGGGCTGGTGCATGGGGGAGGAGGGAGGCCGCTGTGTCTCACTGCTCCCCTCCAGGCCCCTTTTTCTGGGCTGCATTATGCAGCCTCCCACAGGTCCAAGCCCTGACCCTTGGGATCTGGGGACCTCTCCCAGTTCACTGTTTCCTGAGAACTGGGCCTCTTTCTGGAGCTGATCACAGCTTGGTTTTCCTTCTGGATTTGTGCTTGGAAAACCCCCCCAGGCCTGGCTCTGACCAAGATGTTTTGCTCCAGCCTCTTGCCCAATCCCACTCTTCAGATCTCAGGTTCACCTCCATGTGTCCTCCACGGTGTGAGCAGGGGACACCCGCCAGGCTGACGGGGTAGCTGGGGTACAAGCATCTGCCGGCGGCGTACTGCCCCAAAACTCCAGAGCCGCACCGCCCCCTGGTGGTCGATCCTAGCAAGTGCCACTACCCAGGCCAGAAAAGGGACTACTGGGCCCCCTGGTCCTGGGGCTCAGGGTGAGGAAGGACAGCACTTGGTATGAGTTGCCCCTGTCCCCACTCACCCACCCGCCGGGCTCTCAAGAACATTCTCAGTCTAGCTCCAGCACCTGAGGGGTAAAGACCTCTGAATCCCACCACTCCTCCCTTCCCCACCAGACAACTCCATTTCACACATAGGATACTGAGGCCCAGGGATATGGGAGCCGGGCCGGCAAGGCTGCCCAGAGCCTCACGCTGCGACCCCCATTTATTGCACTGCTTTGTCACTCACAGGGGAAGCAAATCCCTCAAGGTCCCACTCTGGCCCCAGCAGGCATCTCATCCCTAGGTTGCCAGTAAGCCTTGCCCGCCCTGAGCACTCAGTAGCCAGCAGGCTCCCCGCCTTTCCTGGAGTCTGAGGCAGCTGCCCAGCCACCGGCCGTGTGGACAATGGCCTGCACCACAGCGATGAAGGTGGACGTGACCTCAGTGTCGTGGTGCCGGGTCTTCAGAGCTGCAGTCACCGCCTGGGGTTGGGAGGGGAGAGAGAGGCCTCAGCAGGGCCCACGATGCCATCGGAACCACACAGACCCACGCTGAACCGCACAGGAGGTGCCATTTCCAGCCCAGTGGCCAGGAACAACAAGCTGGGGGCAACTGGGCCTATTGGGTCTCCCTGGAGCAGGTGGTCTGACCCCCATCGCACAGGGGTTCAAGATGGCCCAGGCAGTGGATGTGAAGGTCATCTGCCCCAGGCAGAGGCTGTGGTCTATGATGACTCAGGAGATCCAGGCCTCCATCCTAGGACACCCTGTGACCCTCCCCTTGTGACTCAGTTTCCTTGGCTCTGCCCCACCTGGTCAATGCCTCTCTCCAGCGTCGTGGTGTTGGGCAGAAGCTGGTTGTGCAGCCGGGGTTCCTCTACTGCCCGTTTCACATCATAGCCAAACCACAGGTTATGGATGATGGCCTGGGGGTGGAGGGGAAGGGGTCAGTGTGGCCCAGGGGCAGGGGCTGGGGGGGACAGGTAGGTGGCACATACCAGCGCGGTGGCCGTGGTGATATGTGTGCCCCCAGAGGCACCCACCACCATGCGGACCTGGCCATCCTGGCCCACGATGATCGCCGGACACATGGATGAGAGCGGCTGCTTCCCTGTGGTCACCAGATGGGTGGGCAGGGACAGAGATGCCGGTCAGCTGCCTGCCCAGGACACCAGCCCTCTCCCCACCTAAGCCCCCCGCCCCACACCTGGTTTGATGAAGTTGGCTGGTGAGGGGGGCACCCCAAACTGGTTGGTGATGTTGGGGGAGCTGAAGTCATCCATCTCATCATTGAATAGGATCCCGCTGACCCGTGATCGTACCTTGGAACCAAAGCTGCAGACCAGCTGGATCAGACAGCTATGCCAGACCCAGCCCCACCCCACCCACCAAAGCTCTCCAGCTTGACCCCAGTGAGGCTGGGGGCAGGTGCTCTACCAAGGTCCAGTGCCTTGGTCTCCCCCCCATGAAAGGGGTTGATGGAGCTCCCATCTGGGAGATGCAAGCAGCCCCTGGCCCACCCAGGGCCACCTGGCAGCCCCTACTAGAGGTTGATGGTGCTGGTGGCCGACACAGCGCTGCCGTCCTCTGCAACCACGGACAGGTGAGCAGTGCCACCATCATCAGGCGTGTAGAACTCAGGCTCATAGTAGGAGGTCGGGTGAGTGGTGTTGTCAGAGATCCGGGCCCGGAGCTGAGCGGCAAAGAACTCGGAGCTCATGTTGCGGACCACCTGCCGAGACCCCAGAGCTGGCCTGAGGAGGTGGGGGGGGAGGAGGGGGAGGGGGCACAGGCTTGTGCGAGCAGCTCTTGGGAAGCCCCCCGACATGGCCCTGACCACAACACTCCTGCACCCCCAACCTCACGTGGCCCGTCTGATCCCCTTTCCAGCCTTTGCCTCTGCAACGGCTGTTGGAGTTGCAGTCCAGTAACTCTTAGTATTTGTCTGTCCACCCACAAGCCCCCACTCTTGCCGCATTCAATCATTCATTCATTCGTGGAGCTTGTGTTGCATGCTTGGATCAACAGGGAACAGACACACAGGTCCCTGCCCTCCTGGCAGGGAAGACAAAGGCAGGCAGGGACATGCTGGAAAGAACAAGCCAGGTAAAGGGGATGGAGAGGGATGAGGTGGGGGCGAGGTGGTCAGGGAGGGCTTCTCAGAGGAGGTGACAGCTGAAAAGAGGCCTGAATGAGGTCTGGTGGTAAATGCAAAGGCCCTGAGGCAGGCCTGTGAGTGACAGGCAGAGGGTGAATAGGGTCAAAGAGAGAAGTGGTGGAAGATGTTAGCAGGGGGTTATCCCGTAAGTCTTCATAGGCCCTATAAGGAGTCTGGCTTTTGCTTTGAGCCACCTGGGCCTGGGACAGAGGAAGGGGCGCACCGGTAGTTCACAGGACCTCTCTGGCAGCTGTGGGGGGGTGTAGCGTAGAACCCAACTGGGAGGCTATGGCATCAACCAAGTGACAGATGGTGGCTGACCCAGATGGGAGAGAAACAATGGCCCCGA